AAACAGCTACCACTGCTCCCTGCTGGGAAACAATAGACAGACGCATGGGTCTGAGGATTTTGGGGAATCAAGTGAGGATGAGAAGTTCCCATACAGATTTGAGCTGGGAAACAAAGAGCTGTGCAGAACCTGGCATACGCACAGGGACAATAGCTCCCCCAGAGCCAGCTGTCCGATTGCAGGGGGCTTCTGGGAACGGGACGGCATGGGAAGACAGACCATAGATGCAGTGCTGCACTGAACCAGAGCAGATACTTAGGGAGGGGTGCAAAGCGTCAGATGAAGAAGGACAGCAGGCAGGACATAACACAGGCACAAAAGAACCAAAAAAAAGACTGAAGTGAAGAGTTTCTTTGAAGACTAAATTTAAAGAAACTAGGGATATAATGATTCACTCAACTCACGATGCGATACGATTCATGATACTGATTTCACAATATGATTCTCATGATTTTTTTAAACAAAATTTGATTTATTATATTATGAATGAAAAGGTGTCTTTTTATTATTTGCTGCACATTTCTTTGTTTAACTGAAATATGTTAAAAATATAAATACAAATAAAAGAAATTTCTTCATGTAAACAAACTAAGGCTTTGCCTGTGCTCTTTCTTTCCTTTTTAGAGGTAACCACTGAATTTGAATCATGATTCCAAACAAAGATGCTGCATGAGCAGTTTTTAATCTAGATTGTATAATTTCGAAATTTGAAACTATACTACATGAAACAAAAACAGCAGACAGGCTGAATGAGGCGCAAACTCACTCTCTAACAGCAGGTGGCGCTAATGGAATAGCAGCAATATGTGCCCCTGGACCACAAAACCAGCCATAAGTAAATTTTTCAAAATTCAGATTTATACATCATCTGAAAGCTGAATAAATAATCTTTCCATTGATGTATGGTTTGTTAGGATGGGACAATATTTGGCCGAGATACAACTATTTGAAAATCTGGAATCTGAGGGTGCAAAAAAATCTAAATATTGAGAAAATCGCCTTTAAAGTTGTCCAAAATTTCGAAATTTGAAACTATACTACATGAAACAAAAACAAATTCAGATTTATACATCATCTGAAAGCTGAATAAATAATCTTTCCATTGATGTATGGTTTGTTAGGATGGGACAATATTTGGCCGAGATACAACTATTTGAAAATCTGGAATCTGAGGGTGCAAAAAAATCTAAATATTGAGAAAATCGCCTTTAAAGTTGTCCAAATTAAGTTCTTACCAATGCATATTACCAATAAAAAAATAAGCTTTGATATATTTACAGTAGGAAATTTACAAAAAAAATCTTCATGGAACATGATCTTTACTCAATGTCCTGATGATTTTTGGCATAAAAAAAAATCGATAATTTTGACCCATACAATGTACTTTTGGCTATTGCTACAAATATACCCCAGCGACTTAAGACTGCTTTTGTGGTCCAGGGTCACATATAGTGTTTCGTTGGTTACCACTGTATACAAAGCAGCATTGTGCTTATGAACGCTACTTTAATATGCATTATACAGAGGCAAGATGAAAAAAAAACAAAAAAAAAACTTCTAAACTTTTCTGAAGACATTCAGTTACCTTAGAGATGCATTTCATAAACTCCCACCCCCCAACTGTATCGTGACTCATTTAACAGCTCAACCAGCTTGAATAGTCACATATTTGTATCGATTTTTTACTGGCTCAGGGTGCATTGTTACGTCCCTAAAAGAAACCTTACAAAAAGCAAGTTATGACAAGCCATCCCAACTCACAAAACCCACCGATGCCACATACTGCAAGTATGACAGTCTGAACTTGTCAAAAAAAATGCACTAAACTAGAAAAATCTGTAGAATACAAAAGCAATGACATACAAATTCATAAAAAAAAAAAACCTGGAGCCTCAGCAAAAACGTTTAATCCCAGCTCATTTCAGTCCTACGTCAAAGGAACGGACAGAAGGATCAAGCAATCTGCTCGGGGAAAACACAACAGTGAGAATATGAGAACAAACATGACTTATTTTCACAGATTAATAAATTCCCCTCACACTTGCATTATTCATCTGAACATCAGGGATGGAATGACAATGGATTTATACTTGTATAATCCATCACTTTTGTTTAAGCTAACCTGAAACCTGAGCTTCAAGAACCAACAATAAAACCAATAATGTAAATAACATAAGAGTCATTTGCAACTGTTCTCAGTAGCCTGAGCTCGTCTGGCCAGCGTTTGAGTGCGACATCATTTATGAGCACGTGCGCGTGTGGCGCTGATGACAGGCTTCGGGATCCAGGCGAGAGCCCGAAGAGGTTTGGATGCCACAGTCGCGTCTGAGCGCTCTCTAATTACAGAGAACTGTTCCGCTTGTCAACACCACTGCTCCGGGTTGTCGTGTTAATCTCGCCAGTGTTACCGCAATAATCTAAAATAGATTAGATCAGATATATGAATCCAACACTTTCTACAGATGGACACCTACTAAACACAAAACTCATAACTAAGTCTTATAGGAATAGTTCGCCCAACCTTGTCATCATTTACTCATCTATTTTATGGTGAACATTGAATTATTTCTCAAAATATCTTCTATATCTTCTTTTTTGTCCATAAATTGGAAGTCATTGGTAACCAAAACTAACTTTCTCCAAAACATCTTCTTTTGTACTCCCACAGAAGAAATAAAGTCAAGTTAGGAATATTAAGAGGCTGAGTAAATGTTGATTATTTTTTCACGTTTGGGTGAACCAAAAGCAAGCATGGTTTACAGCCCATTCTTACAAAATGTTATGCTCACAGGAAGAGAATGCTTCAAGCTTAGTATTTAATGCACATGTTTATGTCAAGTTAATGCACAGATGCCGTTATTGAGATTTGCATAGAGGAGGTGACTGGCTAAAGTGTCCTAAAGAACAAATTATGCAATGTCCTGACCACAAGATTACACATTTTTGTGTTCACAATAAAGAGACCTAAAACCGAAGGACCATAGAGACTAATTAGATCAATACAATTGTTATTATTATACATTATATATTTGCTAATTATTTTTCACAATCTAAATGGCTATCAATTACCTTTTGTTTTGGGCTGTATAAATGTTAAAGGGGTCATATGATGTTGCTAAAAAGAACATTATTTGGTGTATTTGGTGTAATGAAATGTGTTTATGCGGTTTAAGGTAAAAAAAAAAAACACATTATTTTCCACATACTGTACATTATTGTTTCTCCTCTATGCCCCGCCTTTCTGAAACACGTTGATTTTTACAAAGCTCATCGTTCTGAAAAGCGAGGTGTGCTCTGATTGGCCAGCTATCCAGCGCGTTGTGATTGGCCAAATACCTCAAGCGTGTGACGGAAATGTTACGCCTCTTACCATACTGTGATGATGCCCTGTCCAGCCGGAGCGACGAGACAAAAACATTAAAACCCATTATAAACGAGGCATTTGTTGCATCCAGTGGGGACATAATTATGGATTATAATGACTTATACTGTCTTTTTACGTGTTGCGTTGCATCGCACCGCGTAAACATAAAACCATGTCTGCATTTGTAATCGGAGAAATGACAAACAACAAGCGCTACTCTACACTGCCCAAAAAACTTGCTTTAAATATAAAAAATATAAAACTCTTTCAATATAAAAAAAACGTACTTCCAGTATGTGAGTCAGAACAGCCGGCATTGTCGTCTACTCTCCCAGGATCAGTCCACGGTGAAAGCCGATCCGGTGATCCACATAGCAAAGTTGTTGTATTTCCTCAGCAACCAGCACGGATCAGCTCAAGGCATGACTAAGCCGATATGCTACATGCTATGATACATGGTGGCGGCAACAACAATACCACAGCGAGAATAAAAGTTACGCCTTCTATCTTTACGTGAACATTTGGGCGGTGTTATGCAAATCCTCCCACATCGTGACGTAGACATGTGGGGGCGTGTTAGAACAAGCCGTTTTAGGTAGGCGTGGCTGACTCTTAACTTTTATAAAGAATATCTCTTTGGATTTGAGACTTTAGTCTTTGCAACTTTACAGATCTTCTTTATGCACCAAGAGCTTGTAACACTCCAAAGAGAAAGGAAAAATTGAAAATCGCATCATATGACCCCTTTAAGATACACATTTCTCATTCTGTTACCCAATGTTGACTAATTATTTAAAATAAAATACATAAAAATAAGCTACTTTAACTGTAAATATTATTGTTGGGTGCTATTCTTTGGAGAACTACCAAATGGTGACATTGATCAGTTGTCTGATGATCAAGTGTCTGGCACACAGAGCAATGATGAAATCCATCTCAAAGAGCTACGCTGAAAAACCAAAGTGAGTTCAAAGTGGAACAAGCTTGTTTTGACAGAACACGCACCAGATGGGTTCACTATCGCCAATGTGGAAACGCACCAGAATAATTCCTCCCTCAGAACGCATTACTCACCCTATTTCACACAGCAAACTCCATATCAGCGTCAACACTACACATTGGGCTCTATGCTATCCGTTTCGGCTTGTCTTGCGTCGGTTCTAAAACAAACCTGAATTACGAGAACATTCTGTCTTCATGCCATTTCCCAACAAAAACAACTGAGGCCCAACTAACACAGTAGAAACTCTAGGGCTGGATTGAGTCAACCCTCATTGCTCAGGGGGTGAGAATCAATGTGATTACAGTAAGTCCGTAATGTAGTTAACACCCAGATAAGCATATTTAGCATATTAATTAAACACCTTCAAAACAATCTGGGCTGGTGCAAAATATTTTGGCAAGGGTTCTTGCAAGGGAGACTCTGTGCATGACTGTAGTAGTAGAGTATCCTCCACAAAAGTCTAGCATTAAGACATCACCTGTCTCTCTCCCCTCCTTGTTTTTTTTTATCATTTCTTTTAATACTTCCAAACCAGAATTTGACTAGCCATCTAAAACAAACAAACATAGGATGCAATGGCTATATATCCACCAGGAATTCCACTTAAGCAGTGACATTTTACAGATCTCTTACCTTATGAAGAGGCAAAACCATGAACGCTCCTCCTCCGCTGGCTTCCACAATTATGGCAACAAATTTGGGGTTGACTGCACAGAAGGCGCTATCCCACGTGACCCGGGACACCCTGATGTCATCATAGCATTGGTCGTTCTTCACCGCCTGGCCGAACACATGCCGGAACTTACTCTGTCGCACAACCCGTTTGAACATATCTGTAGAGAAAAACAGGACGAGAATGATGAATGAAGTCATCACATGAACGCTCGAGTGCTTTCACTGAACAGTCATGAACCACGTACAGGAAGAAATGGTTGAAATGCCATGCATTCATACTAACTTTTCTTAACGACAAGTATATCTGCAAAAATTCAATGCATTCCAAGCGCAATTCCATGCAAATTTCAATTTAGGCACTGCCATCTGTAATCCAATGGTGTTGTGTGTAAATAGCACTTTTACAGTGTTTAAACATGGTCTTAATCCACTAGCTAGTTTAAATATAATCCTAAAACGTAATCCTAGAATGCTGCAACAGTTGCACTGTGGCACTTCAACATGACGGAGTTAACTGATAAAACTGCCAAACATTCACATGATTTCAAAGTGTCTGGCACACAGAGCAATGATGAAATCCATCTCAAAGAGCTACGCTGAAAAACCAGAGTTCAAAGTGGAAAAAGCTTGTTTTGACAGAACACGCACCAGATGGGTTCACTATCGCCAATGTGGAAACGAACCAGAATAATTCCTCCCTCAGAACGCATTACTCACCCTATTTCACACAGCAAACTCCATATCAGCGTCAACACTACACATTGGGCTCTATGCTATCGGCTGTTTCGGCTTGTCTTGCGTCGGTTCTAAAACAAACCTGAATTACGAGAACATTCTGTCTTCATGCCATTTCCCAACAAAAACAACTGAGGCCCAACTAACACAGTAGAAACTCTAGGGCTGGATTGAGTCAACCCTCATTGCTCAGGGGGTGAGAATCAATGTGATTACAGTAAGTCCGTAATGTAGTTAACACCCAGATAAGCATATTTAGCATATTAATTAAACACCTTCAAAACAATCTGGGCTGGTGCAAAATATTTTGGCAAGGGTTCTTGCAAGGGAGACTCTGTGCATGACTGTAGTAGTATCTTTCATAGTATAGACCGATACATGTTGTCAATGTTTGGCCATAAGATTATTAGCATGAACAAACTAACAGTAGTGGTATCTCCACTTGTGTCAGTTCCAAAATCATCAATCATCATCAACATTGTCAATCGATGAGGGGTATGACCTGAAAAAATCTGTTGCAGAATATGAAAATCAGGGTTATTATAGTTAACTAAAACCATTAAAAAAATGTGTAAAAAATCGGGGGGTTGGGGATTGAAAAAAATCGGAAAATAATCAATTTTAGCTAGTTGCTAAGCTAATTATTAATTTTTATTTAGTTTAACTTGATGTACTAAAGTAACTTAAACTGAAATTAAACATGAAAACTATATAGATATTAAAAGTCAAAAACACAATTCCAATTAGGGATGCGCAGTATACCAGTACTGGAAAAATATTGGTATACATTATATTTCAAACGGTTCGATATCATAATTTTGCTCATTTCGGTATTTCAGACGCTGCTGTTCCGAAGTACACCTGTAGTCGGCAGTGCTTCCCAAAATGCTGCGAAACCGTTAAATGTGACAGAACAACGCGATGGATCATCAATCAGATGAAACTATCAATGAGCCAGAAACTAGTAAAAAGAGACAACAGTAGAAGTGAAATATGGCATTATTTTGCATACATAACAGATGACATAGGTGAACGAACTGACCTTACTGCACCTGTATGCAAGCGTTGCTATAAGGAGGCAACACTTCAAATGTTTCCAAGCATTTGTCACTTGCTCATCCTGATCTTTTCCGCGAATTTAAAGATCCACAGGTGAGTGCATCATCATTCATAAATTCAGATTTAATGAACTTTTATTCACAACTGATCAACGCACGTACATAAGATGTGATGCAGAGTAAACACGAAAGCTCAAACGTGAGTGTGTGACACGCTAGAACCGGTTTAGTTTTGGTCACATAATATTTGCACATGCATTTAAAATAATGACATTTTGAATGAAGCAAGAGTTTTGCTATATTAATTTTAGTATCAATAATATGAAGGGAATATTTCTGCCACACTGCAGATGGCTAATATGAAGTATCGATTCAGTATCGATACCGAGGTATCACATTCTGGTATTGTACCGAAGCCAAAATGATGGTATCGAGCCATCCCTAATTTCAATTACTAAAACTTTAACAAGTATTAAAATGAAAACAGAACACTTAAAAATAAGAACCAAATCAAACTATTAATAGTATCTCAATGATACTAAAATAACAAATAGGCTACATAAACAAATAAATGAAATAATACTGTGAATAATTTATCCATGCATATGTTTCAATGTGTACAAATATTTTTACCTTGTAATGTTAATTAAAATTTCATAACTGGACTCTGTGGTGGAGCCCTGCACGGGCCTCAAATATAGGCCCTAGCCCGAGACGCTCAGGCCCTAGCCCGGCAGCTCTTTAGAATTCTTGGCCCGAGTCTGACCCGAGCCTGTCTTTTTTCCCCCCTTCTCCCAAAACAGCTTATACTACTGTTTCAGCTATTAAAATAGTTCAGTTTTGTATGTAAAGTCAAAGTGATTAGATTTTGTTTCGTTTTTTATTAAGTTAATTTAGAAAAACGTTTGGAGCATTTTATTTTGTTCGTTAATTGTAAGTTGTTGTTTTTTTTGTTTTTTTAAAGTAATGACCAAGCGGCCAGCGGCAGCCAGTAAGTTGATCATGTTTGATCAATTTAGCCTTCTCAAATCATCACGACTTGCCTAAAACAAAATCTATAGATATAAAACAGTTCAAGCATATCACAATGTTAGTTTAAATGTTTAACCTAGATAAATGTGCGCTATTAGACGCATATCGAATCGTTTGTGCGGAGAGCTAAAGCGCGCATTACAGGACAGGGAGGCGCCGGTGCGATCACTTGCATTGGAAACAACGTAAAATGCGCCATCATTTTTGCTCATAAAGGTAAGAGTAATACATCACTCGGAACTGTAAAGTGTCTACTTTTATTTGTGTGCACTCACAATATCAACAAAACATTGTGCTTTTATAAAATAAAGGATAAATAGGATGCGCTTTCTGCAATTTCGGCCAGGAGCGCTTCACAATGATGAACCGAAACTCAGCGAATACTTGCCTCACAAACTTGCTAAATATATCTATAGAACATTTTAAATTACTACTTTAAAACAAAATAATTCAAATCAAAAACAAACTTTTTACGGATTTTATGCATTTCTCTCTAAAGGCACGTCCAATGAGGAGATGGCGAGTCAGGATCGTCATCTTCATCTTTGCGACACGGATTCAGAAAACACTAATTTATTAATAAATAATTAAAATATCTCCTTACTATCCCGCCCCCAGCCCCAAACACATTCATGATCATTCATTTTGCTGGGGCTTTGCGGCACACTTTAGCCTATTGCATGCGTTTTTTGCTGTCATGTGCAAGGATATGTTTGCAGATTCATTGCATGCATTGCATTGGGAACTTTTAGTGACTCCCCACGCTCCAACTTCTCCCTGATGCTCTGCATGGTCAGCTGTCACCTGTATGCTAATGCGTGCGTATATGCATTGCGTATTGCATAGGCTATGTATAATATGCCTATTTATAATATAATCAATATAACAATATTTTATACAGTAGCCTGTGTGTGCTCTGCACGTATATGGGCACAATAAAAGGAGAAGCTAAATGAGACCGAAAAAAATGGCCCAGATGGGCTTGCAGGCCTCTCCTCTGTGGTGAAATAGACAGACTTCTAGAGTTTTATCGCAACTTTTAATATGCTTTTCCCCTGTTCTATTTTTATATTAGCTGTCAATAGTGAACGGTAGAGGACGAGGTCTCCTGAGGCCGGTGGAACAGCGCGGGGGAATGAGGACAGGAAGCAGTTTGACTGTTTGACTGAGGGAGAAATGTGACCTTTGTTTCCTGATAATACAGTGTAAAGCACAAAAGGTTTTACACCAATCACATGCTACAAATTCTGTCTCTCATCACCATTGATATCCCACTGTACAGAAGACATAGACATATTAACTCCCATACACCATTTCTAATACACATCTGTCAATATGTAAATAAACAATCTTATCTATTCATTTGTTAAGACCACTGTTACTAGAAGTGACTATCTGCTGTGCTGCAAATCAAAACTTTAATACAGCATCTTAAATTCTATTAATCTCTAGGGGGAAAAGATGCATTATGACTTTCATCTTGTTCACAGATCAACAATTAAACAGTTGTGCAGACACAACGGAAGAACACCTGTGTTAGATGCTGTTTTAAAATCATGAAATAGATGCACATCAGAGTGTAATGAATTAAGGAAAATGGAAGGACTGGTTTCTATGCATTGGTTGTAGATTGGAAGCAGATGAAGCTTGGCGGTTTAATTTAAGTCCAGCATACGTCCCCTGATTTGCACCATAAAACATACGCATTGATAAATCATTTGCATTAATATAAAGCACATGCATTCAGAAAGTAGAATAGCTGAATTTTCTTTTCATGCTTTCATTTCAACTTATCCTGGCTGTAACCAAGCATTCTTAATGCTTAAACCAGATTTAAAATAAATAAAAGACAAACCACCAGATAAAAATGCAGGGTTTTTTGGTCATTTTTATTTTTTTATTTGCCTTTATTATTTACCATATTTGACTATTATTTTTATAATAAAGGCAACTATTATAAAAAAAATTTTTTTAAAGAATTATTTGCCTTTATTATTTACCTTATTTCTATACACAGTGATGGAGAGATGAGACCGGAAATGATAAGAGACACTAGGGGGATGGGATCGGGAAATGACATAAGTCAAGCTCACTCGGGTGATCTGTATATATGCCGCCATGCTTGCAATCCCCATCAGAACATGTCTGATAAACGTTTATAACTCTTTGGTGAATGAGTTGACTACAGTGAACAGACCTTCAAAGGCAATTTTTTATCATTTATATATGTTACTGTGTTTTATTACAACATAAATTTGAAACCGGTAAAAAGAGTGTTGATGCAGCAGTTCATTTGGGTTTATTTGACTGATTACATTCAGAACTATATTTGT